GCAGTAAGGTTTTAACTCTTTGATTAAAAAAAAGCTTCCAGAAATTAAGTCAAAGACCAAGAAGCACATGAAGGAAGACATCTTCAGGCAGGCTGGATTCAGAGATTTAACTGCAAAACTCACCTTAATGCTACAGGCAGTACTTAGCTAAATCCGAAGGGCCTGAAAGAGCCAGAGTCTAAGTTGGAAGGTGAGAAAGTCACCCAGTCAGGTATCATCCTAGCAGTGGAGGTGCCTCAGGGCTGAATTTGGCACTGAAGTGGAAGGTGGAAGAGACAAAGGGGTAATGTCCTAAATGCCTCCAACTTCCACTAATGCCACCAGCTGCAAGGAGTGGCTGAGCATAAGATAATGAAGACTGCCCTTCAGGAGGTTTTTAGCATCCACAGAATCAGAGCAAATTAGCAGCTGAGATAAAGGGGAGCTGGACTAAGGCAAGCCCAAACCCGAGGCCAAGTCACGCAGAGCTGGTGCACCAGGCTGACTAGGCTGTGTGGAGTAGGACACATCAACTTTAACTCTGCTTCAACAGTTTGCAACAGCTGCTGTAATTCCGAAGGCGTGTTGCTTCCCAGCAGTGGGCTGAACCACTACAAGATAAAGTCATAGATGTCAGAGCTCTGTTTTCATATAAAAATCTCACTGACAGGGCAAAAGCCAGAACACCAAGTATAAATGTGTGTTTGTTTGAAGTGGTCTTGAGAAAAATGCACTTAAACAGTGAAAATGTGTATTTTCCACTTTTGACTTGTTATTGAATCATTTTGCACTTTTTCCTTCTATTTTCAAGAAATCAGAAACATTCCATGGCCTGTTCCTGCTGTTGATTCTCACATGCTAGATCATGCAGTATTATTTATGCACTGGTAATGCCTGTTTATACAATTTCTGCATAATTGGAAATATGTGCTGTAAGCTGAGTCAAAACATTTTACTGTGATGAAAAAGTATACTGCTGACTACTGGAGGAGTGAAGGGTAACTGAACTAACCCATTCCTTTTGTGGTGAAACGCAAGTCAGGTGGGGAAGAGGTATCAGGAGTTCAAATCTTTCTTCTCACAAATCCTGTTCATAGCCTTTTTTCTTCATCTTTATGTTGCCTAAAAATCCTGTTTCACATTGCCAACTCCCTATGTAGCTTTTTATTCCTATGCAAAAAACCCCCAAACTCCATCCAAATTTGCATTTTAATTAACCCTGTCTTTTGGAAGGTGTGATGTAGGTGATGCCTTAGGCTTCAGGGGTAATGAATGTGCACCCATTACAGGGCAGCATGACTCTGTATCATTCTTCAACATCAAGATTCACTGCAGCTACAGCCTGCACCTACGGATGACCAGAGGTGGTCTTCGGCTAGCAGCTGCAGTTTCATTTCATGGCAGAAGCATCAGGCTGGCTTTCTTAAGTAACTTGATTTTTATCCTCACACCTGAGACAGCAAAAATGGGCAGGAATGAAGTCCAGCCTCTTTGCTACTCTCCAGAAGTTTCAAGTTGCTCAGATTCATATTGTCACTGTGGCTGCCTAAAGTATGGCCATAGCATCAATCTTCTGTTAACTGGCCATCCTAAGAGTGCCTAACATACCCTCCAGCCTGTTGTCTCAGTAGTAATCATAAAAGAATTCAGGCTTTTTCACTTCATACTGTTTAGTGACCTCAGTGCATGACCATAAAAAAGGAACAGGAAGAAGACCCCAAGCTGAATGAAGCAAAAATTTATTGTAACAGGGTTTTAAAGGATGTGGGGATAAAAGTCATTGGGTACGAGTAATTTGGCACTGTGGATCAGAAGATATTGAGAATGTTTAATAAGCAAGTGCTGAGACAATGAAGTAAGAGCAAAAGAACTGATTAACCTGCTGGTTTCAGTCAGATGACATTCAAGCAAACAAAAGTGAAAATCAGTATAGGGAGTGTCTTACGGGTCTCTCACTGGCTGTCAGCCCATTAACTTCAGACTACAATTATTAACTTCAGTCTTGCTACAAGGTACCAATCAGGAACCTAGCAGTATTGCTGTGAGAAGGGATATCTTAAAATGCTTTTACAAACTCTTTTGTTAAGGTTCATAGTAATTGAAGCCCAGTTCAAAGAGGCATTACTTTTTCTGTAATTTAAGTGAGAAGCAACCACATAAGAATCTGGATTTGAAGTTCAAGAATTACAGCTAACAGATTTTAGCCAGGACATTACTTTGTGCAGGTCTTCCGGGAAGTATGTGTTTCTTGCTAGCTGCTGCACATCAGTGCATCCCAGTATATAGGCACGCAGGCTGATTTTACTTTTCTTCTTGCTTTTTTCTGCACATCTTTTCTAGTGTGGATACTGGATGTGCTGACATCCTTTTGAAAGTCAGCAGACAACGTTCCTTACAAAGTTTGTAATGTTCAGGCTAAAGCCCATCACAAGGCATTGTCAAATTTCCATCTCTTCTTTTATACGTTCTGTTGAACACAGGGTAAGGGAAGGATAATGTGAGAATCTGATACTGTGTTTCCAGAGATGGTCAGTCCGATAGACTGTTTCTACTGTAAAGACAGACAAAACCAGAGATGGGGACTGGAATAATGGAGATGGTACAATCCCCTTCAAGAACTTCCAGAAATTGTTACCTCTATGTTCAAAAATGGATGAAGGACCGTTCAAGTCTTCTTGATGTCAACTGCTTTTCCTTCAATAATGCGATAAGTTGCCCAGTGGCAATTTGACATCTGCCCTCACAGATCATGACTACAGCTATGAATCAAGTAGCCTCCCACCCACCTCCCACTGCATGACTGAAACCTAACTCTTCACTGCCTGTGCTGCTGAAGTTCAGGCAAGCTAAAGTAGCTGGTATGGGAAAAACCCACACCAATCTTAACAACATGATGTAATTTCTGGTCTTGTTCTCTGGCTGATTTTCCCAGCATCTCAGAATATACTGTTAAGTCCTTTTTCTTTGCTCCTTTATAATAGAAAGGATTTGTAATAGGAGCTGCCTTGCTTTTGTGTTCAGCAGTTTTTCTGTAGGTGTTTACAAAATATTGCAAAGTGACAAAAAAATCAGAAAGTACTGTGCAACTCTGATAAAAAACAGTGTTAATACAGTTTGCTGTAAAGCTTTTAAAACAGCATCCAAAAAGCTCTCCCAGCCGGAGGGAAACGCTGCAGAATGTCTCCTTCCCCACTTTTCACCAGCTTCACTTGGGACCACAGAGAAGGACAATTCCTCTGAAATCAGAATCTTTGCTCTAGTGGTAGGTGAGTCAGTCCAGTAATGACTAAAATGCTGGAACCTATTTGTTCCAACAAACACCACTATAAAAACGCACACCACTATAAACCAAGTTTCTGCATGAAGCAGAGTTCTTACAGCTGAGGAGCAATGACGGGACTTATGATTCAAACACCAATGGAACTTTAAATACAGTGCTCCAAGTGGGAGTTATTTTGTTCAAATTCACTCTTTCAGACTCTAAATGCTTAAGATAACAGAAAGAAACACCAGGAAAACAGCATGGGCCATCTTCTTTTTGTTCTTGTCTTCAGTATGCAAGTTGCTTTTGAGTCAGTGCTCTCAGGATACCCTCTCTGAGCGAGGTTTGAGTGAAAGATCACACTTCAGAATAACTGGGCTTTCAGAATAGGACTGCAGCCTCCTGCAGGCAACCCTGCGATGGCTCTGCCCTGTGCCCAGCTGCCTGCAGAGGCAGGCACCGAATCATTCTGCCAGCAGCACAACTGGATTAAAAGTCTGCTGTTCCCCTCAGCTCTGCCAGTTCAACACTCCATGACGGCTCTCTAGCCTGGTTCTGTGATGTGTGCTGGCTGAGAGTAGAGTTCCTTTCTGGTACTCCTAAAATAGTTCATCTGACTATGCTGTGGGCTCAGGGATTCAAAATAAATCCCCATGGCATATCATTAACTCGAGCATCAGCAGCACTCCACTTTTTAGTACAATCTTTTCCTGCTACTGAAAAGGGAATTTTTGAAACATCACTAATCTAACACTGGGGCCATTCATGTGCAGAAAGAGATCACACTGGGAGTAAAATGTGTGTTTAACTCAGAATTTAACCATGCAGGAGTACATGCCATTCAGCTAATGAGGTCCAGACGTATGAGCACCTCTGATAGCTGCTGCTGCCCAGGTGACTGAAACTTGCTATGACACTTCCTTAGACTGTTAACAAAGCTCTGACTGGTGCTGGGAGAGGGACTGTGCATTCAGTTTGGAGAATGTTAATACTGAGGCTATATATAGTATATTCCATTAGCTTCACGCAACCTAGGTGGATACTGATACAGTACCTCCATAGAATAAGGTCACCAATGTTTTCCTGTGTCTGAAGAGTTCAGAATTATACTCTTTAATTAAACTGCAGCATTAAGATGCTTATTGTGTCACCTGTGCTGAGATCACATTGTCACAGGAGGCAAGGGGGAACGCCTTCAAACAGGAACTGTTGGAGGCAGAATAATAATGTTGTGCCCTGAAAATAGTTTCCAGGAAAAGCTGATAAAACCCCTTCTGTACAGTTCCACTGATGTAAGTGGTGCTACTTGCCTGTTAAGAAGCTACTCAATATGACCTCAACACACATCATCTGTGCTTAGTCACACTTTCTTTGTTCAATATTTTTCCTCCTACCTGCATGTCTGGTGTGTAAGGTTTATTAGTGAGAGGGCTGCTCTTAACAAAAGTGGAACAGGCAACCCCTACTATATTCTCCTTTGCCTTTTAAGACTCATTAAAGGAGCCTCAGGGAAGAGTCTGGCAGAAGCACACCCTCAGGAAAGAGTTTGACTGACTGTGGTAATACGAGATAAATTAAAAAGTACATGTGAAGACTTCTGTTGCAGTGAGTTAGAGGCAATGATTCCCTTTGCTTTGAACAGTACCTTAGCACAACTGGCTACTTCATAACAGTCCAGTGTATTTACAAGTGTTGTTTCATCTGTATGGTACTAAGCTGCGGTTTGTTTTCTTCTTCTTTCCCTTCTCGTTCCTCGCAGGATGAAAAGAATCAAGTATTAACAACAAACGTCTGGCTACAAATGGTAAGTTAATTTCCCTCTTTGGTCATTCAGTTTAATCTGGTGAGGGTTTTGAACTTTCAAGTGTTTGTTCTATATCTTGCTGAATGGAAAACTGTAAGGCTGAGATTTAGGCCTTGAGGTTTCAAGTATTTCTAAAAACTTTGAAGAATTTGAGTCACTACACTAAGTAAGTTACTAACTCAATGTAGTTGATTTAGGCATGCTAAACTCTCGACTGGCGTAAGATAATGGTGTCCTAAAAGTTCCACGTAGAGTAACTGTAGGTGCAAGTGCCTGATCACTCATTTCAGCAATCTCTGCCATCCTACTTGCTTTGCTGTCTACCTCCTTAAGACACCGCAGAAGGATTTTAATGTAAATGGCCATGCTGTTCCCATGTTGTTCAAAATGTTACTGTTTAAACACAGGTTGTCATCAGAAATTAACTGTGAACATGAGAGGTTTTCTATGTTTCTTCTCCAAATTCTGTTATCTCAGTTTCATGCCAAAAATGGGTACGGGAACATCAGTTTTCTAATGTGCAGCTGGGAACACTGTCCTGGTTTCCCAGTTTGTTTTGCCCACACAGGGTGTTCATTTTTCAAACAGTAGCTTTATTTTACATTTGGTTGGAATATTTAGTTGTTAACAGTTGCCACAGAATTTCACATCCTCTCTTATTAACCGTAATTATTGTCACCACTAGATACCACAACAGAGAACTTTGTCTCCATTAGCTCATGGCTGGCATTGCTGGGCAGGAGTAAGTTTTACTCATGTTTTTAATAAATGGAACAGATAACAGAATATTCAAGAACTTTGTGAGAGTATTTTGTATTTCTTTTCTCTGAAGAGGTTAAGTAGCAAGTGACCTCCTCCTCAGCAAAGAAGGCTACACAGATTTATCCTGAGTTGATTGCTTATCTTTTTGCATTAGTTTAAATTAAGACTTAGAATTAACAAGGTGCTTCTCTCCATGCTGACTAGTGTGGGCTTCTAATGCTTCCACAAAATACGTCTGTCATTTTGTGCTTTACAAACATGGGGTGGAACGGGCAGCTTTCTCCATACTACAGCAGCTAGGATGAGAATTTGCCACTAGTTGAATTCCCGTCTCTAATACAGAAACTCAACTGTTTGGATTAAGTAAAGGTTTACACAAGAGTTTTATTATTGAAGATAACCATGTTGCTTCCTCAGACACTTTGCACTTTTCAGCTTCTTTAACCAGCTCTCTCGCACTGTGGTAGGAAACAAACGAAAGAGTCTTTTGATGACCTACAAAGGAGAGCATGGCTATTCCATTTATTCACAAAGAAAAGTTAACATGGAAGAAGCATTCACCCCATGTTATTTTACAGGCTTGTACAGCAAGATTAAAGTTGTCAAATATAATATGGTTTTGGCTTTGAGCTACAATGACAACAGTTGCTATGATCTCTCACCAGGAAAACAGACAATTCGTACTCAAGAAGTTATCGGTTATTTTCCTTCTCTTTTATCCCACAGCATCCTTATCCTTTTTGAGATCATTTTCCTTTTTCCCCTAAGGAAATTCCCGATTCTTTAATATATTTTGTATTTCTTTTGATTTATTCACCTTAACACACACTGTATGTGGAGCATGTTAAGACTGCAATGAGCCGATCACTTGATGACTATAAAGAATGAGGCCACTCTTCATGGCCTGTGTACACATTAAATAAAAATAAAGCAATGTGTTTGCATATTAGTTTTCTATTAATGGGATACTAGACACATCAAAGCACGCTCAAGGCAAACATATGTCATCTTCTTCTGCTAAATGGTCTGAAACTTTTTTCCCCTAATTTCCCACTTTCTTTCTTGATCTGTATGTGTGTTTAATCAGCGATGTATCCTAAATATAATTTATTTAATTATCACTGAAATACATAAGTACAAAAAATAACTTGGGAGGAAGAGGAATGTAAGTTTAGTATTTATACATGCAGACTCTTTGATCCTGAGCACTATCTCCATGGCAATACTGTTCAGTATCAAAATCCTAAACTTGATCTAAGTTACAGCAGAAGCCTTGCCTTGTCACACAGCTTAATACTAACCCAACTGTCTTGAGCTGTTTGCTAGTTTAATCCACATCAGATGTACTTCAGCTCTATAGTCAAAACAGAATGAGGCAGCTCATGTCCAGCTGGATGGGTGAGCACTCTGTACACACGGCTAAACCAAGCAACTCTACAATCTGCTTAACATTATCTCCAATACAGACTTCAATACTAAATTTTCTACCACCCTTTGGACTGTTCTTAAATCATTCAGTGTCACCCTATGCTACTACCTATCGGCCATGGTAGCTTCTAAAAGAAGTTAGAGTAAGAAGTTACTGACTACATTGCTATAAACTATTGTAATGCAGTTCAGATGGAATTGAAGGCGGGAACCAAGGGGCAGCTTTCTGGCAGCTGCCCACAGTCTGCCAGCCCCAGCCCCACCACTGCTGCGCACAGGGACTGGTTCTATCAGCTCCTAGCAATGAAAAGGAGTCATCTAAAGCCAACAAGAGCCCACAGGTTTAATGCCTCAGAACTACATATTGTATTTCTTTACATTGCTGGACTTTGTAAAAAGAGAGAGTTCTCATGAGGATCTCAGTGATTCTACATTCCACAAAAGATGAAGTGGTAAAACATACAGTGATATCGTGTGCCAGAAAACTCACGTAAAACAATTCACTAAAAATTGATGTAAAATTAAAAAAAAAAGAAGCTGAGAAGCTTTTAATCAGCTTACAGAAACTGTGTATAGACAAGCATGGGCAACACACGTGGTTTAATTAGAGAACTGTGAAGAGCAGGCAGTGAAAACAAAAACTATGAACAGAGCCAATCAGATATTCTGGTTTAAGATTTCTGTTGAAAACTGTTACCTGCAAAGGGAAAAAGCAATGCACAGCTCAGATCATTTGTCCAGGTGACAAGGCACTACAAATCCATAGCAAAAAATGACGGAGAAAAACATGGAAGCACAGACCAAGAAATTATGTAGTAAAAGCTTGACAAAAGATTTGTGCTGAATGCTCCTAGTTGGGTTGCATGCATCAAAACAGTCATTTACAAACACTGTTCTAGAGGTATAAGAATGAATTTGAATACCTGCAGCGTGAGGCTAACTGGGGACTTGTTTAGCGTATTGAACTGAAACTTCCTGTGACAGTAATGCAGGGAATTACAGAGAACAAGCTGATGTGAATCCCCCGTGAGAATGATCAATAACATTACCTCCGCAATACCCACTGGGATTTTTTCTGAGCCTAACATCTGTCAAAGATTTTGACAAGGGTCACTAGGCTGTTGAAGAGCAAAGTATTGTACATTTACTCACCCATTTCAAAGTTTACAGTTAAAAGACTAACATTTGGAATTGCAACAGCACAACAAATCTGGAGAAGTTTTCACTGTAACTTATGTGATACCTACAGCTATATGATGTTAATGCAAATAACATAATATGGAGATAGAGGCACAATATAATGAAGTACAGTATAAGAAAAAATAGATTTTGTGAAACAAAACTTTTTTTTCTTATTTATACCTTTTGCAGACAACAGTAACTTTCCTTGTATCCTGTCAAGTTATCTATCTGCTTAGTAAGGGGTGAAATGCAAGCTCAATTTGAGGAAAACAGTAGTTAATGCTAGTAGTTTTCAGGAGACTATGAGTTTGTGCTTTTGTTTATGACCAGGCAGGGCCATATGACTGTATCTGAGATTCAGCAACACGAACCACAGACTAAACTCCTGTTGACTTGACTGTGATACGCTCCCTGCCTATACTGGCAGTCAAGGACAGGTTGAAAGGAGTACAGATAGACCCCAGGAGAGATGCCTCCAGTGCAGTAGGTACCAGCCAGAAAGAAACCTTGTGGAACAGTGCAGTGCTGCTGAGCATCTGCCTTAGAGGTTGCCTAACTTCAGGCCAGCGGCGCTGCTAAGACCTTCTATGCTAGTATTGACTGTTCTGCTATTGCAGATGTTTTCCCTGTCAGCAGTGACTGTTGGCTGCTCTACCTCAATGTCTATAATCAAGTTATTCCAAATCAAGAATTTCCAACAAGAGATAACAAAGTTTTCTGTGAAGATAAACGTAACTGAAATTAATATATGAATCATAAAAGAGAAAATCTCTTCTACCCCATGCACTGGAGGCAGCATGAACAATAAAACACAAGCACCCCAAATCTTTTATAGGCTGTTATGTGCACTGCAGTATGAATTGAACATGAGATCTTTATGCTTTCCATTGAGTTCTCAATGGCCTAATTCACCCTTTCAGAAAATTTCACTGCCTGAAGCTATTAGTATCTCTTTAACAGAAGAACATCTATTGTTTCAGGCTGTCCAGGTTCTAGAGAGCTACAGTAAACCAGTGGAGGAAGTGACCTAACTTACTTTTTCTGTTTATGTCTTAGTACTGGACAGATCATTATCTACAGTGGAACGTGTCTGAATACCCAGGAGTGAAGAATGTCCGTTTTTCCGATGGACTGATTTGGAAGCCAGATATTCTTCTCTATAACAGGTAGACAGACTTTCTTCATATCGGGAAGGAGAGAAAATAATAGAATTATAGAATCACAAACAGCCCAGGCTGGCAGGGACCACAAAAGGTCAACTGATCCAAACTATCATGGGTAAAGAAGCCTAGATGAGATTACCCAGCACCCTGTCCAGTTGCAAAGATAAGGCAACGCAAACGACCTAATTATCTCATCAAAATGCCTAGGTTTGGAACACTTTTCAAAAAACCTGGGAAGTTTTGCAATACTGCAGAATAAGTGTCTGCAAGTACTTGTGAACAACGACATCCCCCCTACCACCAATTCTGGTTGGGTTTTGTGAGATCAAATGCTCCATCCCTGGCAGTGTTCAAGGCCAGGCTGGACAGAGCCTTGGGCGACATGGTCTAGTGTGAGGCGTCCCTGCCCATGGCAGGGGGTTGGAACTAGATGATCTCAAGGTCCTTCCCAACCCTAACACATAGATTCTGAGATTAGAAAACTAAACTTCCCTGGCTGTGCTCACTGGTACAGGTAGTGATAATTTCCTCGTTAATACTTTGTTTGGTCTAAATGTTTACTGGTGAATTCAACTCTGACTTTCGACTCTCACCTGGTTTTAGTTTGGGCTTCACTGGAGGCAGAATGGGTAAATGCCAAAAAATATGTTTGCATTTTTCCGTGTTCAGTTTTGTGTCAATCTTTCTTCCTGCTACAAAAATAGCTAAGATATTTACTGCTCTCCTCTTCAAACTATCTGTTCTGAGTTGGGCTCATTTCACATAGACTGCCATCAACCCACCGCAGACCCTGCAGTGACACTGAGAGATTCTTTGGCTGCACCATTATATGGTAGTTCCCATTGTGGAATTTGTTTGGTTTAAAAAGATGAAGCACTGACAGCTATCTGCTTTTCAACAGCTTGCCTTTTTCTGCAGCAGTGGGCCTATGTGCTGTTCCTCAGGTACCAGAAAGACCTTCGTACATATTACACTGGCTATTTTTGTGATAGACAGGGTACATTGTTATTCTTTTGCCCATGCAGATGACAAGAACTTTTTGTCTGACTAATGGCTTTTTTCATGTTTCTCTGCCATATGTCCATGAATGACAGCCCTGCTGTGTTTATCAATCTGATTCCCCCTCCCCACTTCAGGAGCTTTTTGTTGCAGTGAGACCTAGAGAATAGCTGTACCCAACATGTCAGCTGCAGTTACGCTCCCTTTAGCCACTATGATGATCCATGTCACTGGCACAGATGCTGCTGAATTGTAATAATGTGATAACGGCACCCAGAGTACTTACTTCTCTCTACGGCCTACATCACTGCGTTGCTTACAGCATGCTGCAGTGCTCCTCTCAAAGGTACAATTAATACTAAACAATTTGAGGTAATCTCCACTAGAGTTCACCATACTGATGGTACCTGTCTGTCAAGAGTAACTCTTGTTCCAGTCTAAGCATGGCAATTAGCACTCATTCTCTATACACCAGTCTAAAAACCCTTTCAAATGCTCTGTACACGAAATGGAGCAGCATGCAACCTGGACAACTATCTTTGCAATATTAATCTGGCTTAATGTATTTTTCCATGCAAAATTGTTCCCTTGAGCATTTATTCCTAGCTACCTTGATTCCATAAACAGCAGTTTTATTGGGAGATTCCAACAAGTCAGGCATTCATTTGCAATCGCCTACTGAATTACATACTGTATATGCCATAAAATTGGTACCCCACAACAGCATCCCAAAAGAATGAATTATGACAATTTTCTTCCTCACATATATCACATACCCGAGAGACTTTCAGAGTATCTGAGGATTTATGCTTCAATATTTAAGTAAGTATATCCAAGATTAAAGGGTCATTTTTGTAGAAGTTAGTAATATTAAGACACACATGCTAACTGTAGCTGAAGTGCATTACAGAGTGAGAGGGGTAACTTAACATCAAACACCAGTTTCCTTTTAATACAGGTTTTTGACTCTTGGGATTATTAACTATGGCATGGTCATGAAGTAATTATTCTACAGTGTCTCTATTTCAAACATATATTTAATCCAAAATCTTATTCAGAGACCATTCAGAGAGCAAAGCTATTTAAAACAAGTTCTTATTCCTGTATGAAATAGCATTGTGAATGTTATGATGTAACATGTTATTCTGAGACAGATGCTTTTAATTTCCATACACTTCACTAGGGACATGCATCTGTCGTTACAAAGATATTAATGAACTATAAATTCACATTTTATTTTAATGAACGATTTGAATCCTTACACATCATGCTGCAGCCAAGTACACAGAAGCTTGTGGCAGCTTTATTAAATTTTACATCCAGTCTATAATGCAGAGAGCAGGGCCAGTTCATCTGTAGTTTTCTGAGGCAAGAAAATCTTGGCCTATGTACAAATTCCAGGACTGTGTTAGTGTCACGTATGGGCTCTCTTCCATCTCGTTAGTTTTACCAGACTTATTAGAAGTGCTCAGTGTGGTGGCATTGTTTTCCAAATATTAAGGCTACACAGTGTTTAGTACTTCACGGAATAACAACAATTCGGCTTTGTCATCTCAATGTACTGCAGTCAGTATCTGCTTTCAAGTGGTTATACCCTGAAGAAGAAATGTAGCAGAAATGGTTTTCTATCATTACATTCAAGTCCAAAGTTTCATCAAGCAAAGGCATAGCTACTTGGTGCATTCCTAACTGAAGCACTGCATTTCAAAACCTATTAGAAGGACCTTGCAGAAAAACACGTATGCTCCTTTGTCAGAAAAAAGAACATATTTGAGTCTGAGTTCCTCTTGATATTCTTTAAAGAATGTGTCTTATGAAAGGCAGTCACAAAGTAATGAAACCTAGTTTCTTTATGTGTGCATGCAAACCTGTGTGAATACATCTGTGTCTGTATGATCTTTCTTGCTGCCCTTTTCCCCAGTATCCTCTGAAGCCATGTCTGCCAAATTTAGCAGTGCAACCAGTAGAGATTTTAGCAGGAACAGTTTCTTACAAGTATCATGAAAACAGACAACCAAAACAAGGAGGGAGAACAATTAGTGTCCCAACTGGAAGAGAAGCTGCAACATGAACTCAGAGAATCCAGCCATGAGCTGTGAAGCTGAAGGAGAGTGGCCTGCATTAGTTCAACTGCCTTAGAATCAAATTGCCTTTCGCCTCAATGTGCTAGAATCCATTTGTGCTACTACATACATGACATTTAGACTTTTCTGCTTGTCTTCGGAGTTCAAATTAAATAGTTGTAAGCTTTTCAACACTGCGGGACTTCTGCTCACCACAGGAAAAAGTACAGCTCCAGACGGGCAAGTAATTATTTGCATTTAGTTTTTTCCTTGTCTGCCTATTTCACAGACCTGTCCAGGCATTTTTTAAAGTTAATGTCTTCAAATGCATAAGGAAAAAATCAAATGCAAAGTAACAATGACTAAAATAATGATTGCTTTATATGAATGAGACAAAAATTGTACCAGAATAGCTCAAATATTAAAGTTCTGTTTTTTAAAAAAGAGACTATTTCAATAAAGGGTTTCCTGCTGGAAAAATATGCCAGTTACTATACTTCATTTTCTGCTAGAAATATGAATATTTCACTTTCTCTGCATCTCAGATTCTTCCTGTATTTTTCTGATGATGTTTTAGGTGATCAGAAAATTATGAGATACTAAACCGCTTACAGGCAAACCAGGTATCAGAGACTTGTCATGTTCAAATCAGCCAGAGACAACACAGGGTTTTGGGTCAATGGAAGCAAAGACTACAGGAAGAAGCCTGACATTGAGGCTCCAGTGACCTTCTTTGCCCTGCCCAAGTGCAGTTGGCACTGTATTTGCCCTGTGTGACAACCTGTCCCCACCAAGTGACTGTTTGGAAACTACAAACAATACAACAAAGTACAGTAGCCTGTGTCTTATTTCACTTCTCCACTGCACATAGGAAAGCCCAAGAAGGGAGCCCAGGTCCATAATCAGGAACTCAGCACAGCTGTCCCTGAAATAATTTTGAGATGCTATGGTCATTCACTGCTG